CAGATTCACACACACACTGACATACACACACACTGACATACTCACACCAACACACAGATTCACACACACCGACACACTCACACTCACAGATTCACACACACCGACACACTCACACTCACACAGATTCACACACACCGACACACTCACACTCGCAGATTCACACACACACTGAGTAGGCCCAGCAGCTCTGACTCGAGTAGGCCCAGCACAGACTCGAATTGGCCCAGCACGAGCTCAAGTAGGCCAACAGCAAGGACTCAAGTTGGCCCAGCAGCGCAGACTCGTGACGGCGGCATCAGAGGTGGGTTTGGGTTCCGTGTGGCTACTGCACCGTTGCGGCAGTACTAGCGCTGACTCACGGTTGCTGAGGCAGCAAAGGCGAGTTTGGGTTCCCTGCAGCACTTGCATCCAACGCAGATTCATGGAGGCAGCAGCAGGGCCGAGTTTAGGCCTGAAACAGGCTCATGGCGACAGTGAAGTTGACTTTGGGTCAGTGCGGTACACAGCAGCCTCAGTGCTGTCTGCATTGGTGACGTCTGTCAAAGACTAACAGCAGCGAGGGCATCCGTGGAGGTGAGATGGCACCGAAAAGTGGTGATGTTCATTCCAGCAGTGAGGGCACGGCATAGGGGAGCCATGCCTGGCCAGCAGGCCCATGGCCCATGACGCAGCACTTAACAAGAAGGACTGTAACGTTGGACATGTTTTCATTATTTCATTACTTTTCTGCTTTGGTTTTTATTCACTGTTTTATGTTTTGGTTTATTTTCCTGCGGGAGAAATAGAGATGGCGCCAGAGAGTGGTGACACTACGCAACACTGTGTTTTGTAACAAGGTACACATGACAATAAATCAATCAGATAAATAAATGAAAATAAATCAACAGGCAGGCAATGGGGGAACTCAATCCTACAATAAAGCAGTTCTGAGGAAGGGTCACTGGACCCGAAACGTTAACTCTGCTTTCTCCTTCACAGATGCTGCCAGACCTGCTGAGCTTTTCCAGCAACTTCTGTTTTTGTTCCTACAATAAAGCAGATGGGTAGCTGTCACACAGGAAAGCTCACACACTGCACCTCTACCCCAAACCCTACTTCTGTCTCTGTCCTGTCACTGAGGAAGGTGAGGACTTTATCCTTGGAGATTGTGTCCAATTCACACGACATTCCCAACATTCAGCTGAGTATATCCCATTTACATGGGGAGGTGATGGCCTAGTGGTATTATCACTGGGCTATTAATCCAGAGAGCCAGACAATGTTTCAGGGACCCGGGTTTGAATCCCCACCAGGGCAGATGGTGGGATTTGAATCAGTGTCAGATTTTATTTGGTAACGCTCCTGAGGTTTTCTGTCTCAAAGGCTGGGTCAAAATCCTGGAATTCCCTCCCTGAGGGCATTGGGGGTCAACCCACAGCACATGGACTGCAGCGGTTCAAGAGGGCAGCTCACCCCCACCTTCTCAAGGGGCAATTAGGGACAGGTGATAAATGCTGGCCCAGCCAACGACACCCACATCCCATAAAAGGTGAATGAATAAAAGAAAAAAGGTGTTACCTAAGTACAGGTTGTTGTTGTTCCTTCACTGTTCCCAAAACGTCAGGACTCCCTCCTTCCTGTGGGAGAACCATCACATAGTGATCTGCAGTGGGTCAGATCGTGAATACAACTTTCTTAAAGCTGACCCAGCCTGTGACACTCACCAAATGCTCTACAACTCTTCAAAGCTGCTTCCCCACACTCACCAGTGTGTGGCTACAGCACAACAGATACACAGGGGGCAATAAATAAAACTTGTTCCAGATCAAAGCTTGAACCTTGCAAGATAAGTACCTGAATAAGAAATGTTTGCAGTGATACAGGCCAAATGCAGGCAGGTGGGACTAGTTTAGTTTAGGATTATGTTCAGTATAGACTGGTTGGACTGAAGGGTCTGTTTCCTTGCTGTATGACTCTATGACTCTGTAACTGATTGAGTGAAGCTCCATCAACACACAAGGTTGGTAGACATGTTCAGAGTAGAGCAGCTGATGTCTGGCACCCATATCCAGCATCTTCATACTCACTCCCTCCACCACCAACGCTCAGTAGCAGCAGTGTGTACCATCTACAAGATGCTCTGCAGAAATTCACCAAGGGTCCTCAGACAGTCCCTTCCAAACCCATGACACTTCCATCAAGAAGGACAAGGGCAGCAGATACATGGGAACACTTCACGTTCCCCTCCAAGCCACTCACAATCCTGACTTGGAAATATATCGCCATTGCTTCACCGTCACTGGGCCAAAATCTTGGAATTCCCTCCGTAAGGCCATTGTGGGTCAACCCACAGCACATGGACTGCAACGATTCAAGAAGGCAGCTCACCCCCACCTTCTCAAGGGGCAACTAGGGACGGGCAATAAATGCGGGACCAGCCAGCGACAGCACATACACTGAGAATTAATTGTAAAGCAATCAAATTAGCGTCCATAAAATTTCAAAAGAAAAAACCTCAACCTGTTTCTTCTCAAAAAGCTGGCAATCTCCATCTCTGAGCAACTTGTAACAATTGGGGACCTCTGGTGGTTGAAATGGGTTATTGCAGTAGAACTTGCCTTTAGTAAATTCACCAAAACTGGGCATAAACACTGGTGAATAGTTGCCTGTTTTTCACTTTTCTTCAAGATAAGAGATGTCAATGTTGTGTCTTTTTTACATACATTTGATATCAAACACTCCCAGGACACAGACAGCATGGGGTTAGATACAGAGTAAAGCTCCCACTACACTGTCCCCATCAAACACTCCAAGACAGGGACAGCATGGGGTTAGATACAGAGTAAAGATCTTTCTACTGTTTTAAAAACTAAAGTAATGCCTCCTTTAAGCTGTCCCCATCAAACACTCCCAGGACAGGGACAGCACAGGGTTGGATACAGAGTAAAGCTCCCACTACACTGTCCCCATCAAACATTACAGGACAGGGACAGCACAGGGTTAGATGCAGAGTAAAATTCTTTCTACTGTTTTAAAAGCTAAAGTAATGCCTCCTTGACGCTGTCTCCATCCAACACTCCCAGGACTGGTACAACACAAGAGTGAGACTCCATCTACTCTTTTAAATTGAAAGTAAAGCTACTTCAACACTTTTAAGCTGAAATAAAATTTCCTTGACACTGACCCCATCAAACACTCCCAGGACAGGGACAGCATGAGGTTGGACAGTAAAACTCTTTTTTAATGTCACCAGCGTCCCATAATCTGTTATCTTAGCGTAACTTTTGCAACGGCTCCAAACAGAAAGCTGATCTGCTGAAGGAGATAGAACCACACCCTGCAAGTAGGGGCTATCTCTTTATTCAGGGTTCACCCTCTTTAACTTAGAATTTGCTGGGTCATACTCTGCCCTTACTGTTCCAGAAGGAATGATCCAAAATGGTCACTTCATTTCTTCATCAGTTTTATGAACTTTTATTTGTATTTATGTTTAGCTTAACATCTGGCTTTTCCTTGGGAACTGGCTGTCAAGTGGAGACATTGGCAGGAGAAACATCTTCACCCAGAGAGTGGGGGGCCTGTGGAATTCTCTGCCACAGGCAGTGGCTGAGGCCAAAACATTAAATGTTTCCAAGAAGAAGTTAGATATAGTTCTTAGCGCTAAAGAGATCAAAGGGGATGGGGAGAAACTGGGAACGGGGTACTGAGTTGAGTGGTCAGCAATGATCATATTGAATGGTGGAGTAGGTTAGAAGAGCTGAATAGACCTCTCCTGCTCCTATTTTCTATGTTTCAGTCAGGAGTCCCAGCCAGATTATTCATTCACAGGATGGGAGCATCTCAGCACCAGGCCAGCATTTATTGCTCATCCTTAATTGCCCAGAGGGCAGTTAGGAGACAATAATATTGCTGTGGGTCTGGAGTCACATATAAGCCCAGACCAGGTAAGGATGGCAGTTTCTTTCCCTATAGGACATTACTGAACCAGATGGGTTTTCCCGACAATCAACAATGGATTCATGGTTATCAGTAAATTCTTAATTCCAGATTGAATACAAATTCCAGCATCTGCATTGGTGGGATTCAAACCCAGGTTCCCAGAACATTACCTGTGTCTCCGGATTAATAGTGTAGCAATAACACCACAAGGCCATCAGAAGAAATCATTCCAAGGTCCTTCAAAGAAGCACTACCAAACAACATGTAGCACTAAGCCATATGAGGAGATAGGTATTACAACAGATCACTAAAAGATTGCTTAAAGCGGTCAGTGTCTTAAATCAGGAAGTTGAGAGGAAGAAAGAGGTGGACGTTTAGGGGGAAGATTACAGAAATGCACTGAAGGGATTTTAAAATATCACTTTCAAAATGGAAGTGTTGCTCAACCGTAGTGGGACCATAGGATATTTAACAACAACGACTCAAAATACAGAAGGGAGATAAGGGGGCTTGGTGATGTGGTGCAATGAGAATAACCTCTCTCTCAACGTTGGCAAAACTAAAGAACTGATCATTAATTTCAGAAAGAAAGGAGGAGAACACACCCCCATCTACATCATAACTGATGAATGGACTCTGTAACTTCAAATAATGCTAATCTTGTTAATGTTGATCTCACCTAGTGCACGCCCTGTGCAATGTAACCTGTATACTTCTGTCTAAGTTCTTTACAACCTTTGATCTGTACATCCTTGTTTACTATGATCTGCCTGTACACAAAATTTTTCACTGTACTTAGGTACATATGACAGTAACGGGTGACACTGTGGCTCAGTGGTTAGCACTGTTGCCTCACTGCACCAGGGACATAGGTTCAATTCCACTCTTGAGTGACTGTCTGTGTGGAATATGCACATTCTGTCCACGTCTGCGTGGGTTTCCTCCGGGTGCTCCAGTTTCCTCCCACAGTCCATAATGTGCAGGTTAGGGTGGATTGGCCATGCTAAATGGTCCGTAGTGTTCAGGGATCTGTAGATTGGATGGGTCTGGGTGGGATGCTTTAAGGTTGGTGTGGACTTGTTCGGTTGAAGGGCCTGTTTCCACACTGTAGGGATTCTACGGTACTTTAAATCATTCAATCAACTGTTGTATATAGCATTGGTTCTGAAGTGGTTAATGTTCGTGTTACTTTAGCTCCACCCATTCTCCTGATGTTACACATAGTCTATGGGTGAAGACAGGGAGTTCTCCTCCAGCTTTTGGAGCAGCCAAATGTTTCTGTACTAGCTCCTGGAGAACCTAGCAGTTTTGTCCAACCCAATGTCGTTGGACCTTTTGCTACCGTAGAATCTCTACAGTGTGGGAACAGGCCCTTCGGCCTTACAAGTCCACACCGACCCTTGGAGCATCCCACCCAGACCCATCCCCCTATAACCCACCTAATCTACACACCCCTGAACACTGCGGACAATTTAGCATGGCCAATCCACCTGACCTGCACATCTTTGGACTGTGGGAGGAAACCGGAGCTCGCGGAGGAAACCCCTACAGACACGGGGAACAATGTGCAAACTTCACACAGACAGCCGCCCGAGGGTGGAATCGAACCCAGGCCCCTGACACTGTGAGGCAGCAGTACTAACCACTGAGGCACCGTGCCAACCTTCTTGTCCTCTATGTAGAGTTCCTCTTCTGTAGCCTATGATGGCGTATCACTTACCACTAATCAAAAATAGGACAAGACATGGGGGGAATTGGTGGCAGCAAATTACCTCAAATAATCCTTACCCAGTGCCACACACCATCAGGTGCCAGGAGTGGTCATCTGGGCAAATACAACATATAGGCCAGACCAGAGAAGGGGGCAGATTTCCTTCCCTGAAGGAATTTATCAATTTTGCCCCAGAGTGCATTGTTTCATGGATACCCAGCAACAGTTTGTTTACTTCTTGATGTCTTTTCTAGCCGTGCCATCTTAGCTTGTGAAACCTCTGTGCAAAGCCATCCTACACTGCCCACTCATGTGCCTAGGTCTGCGCAGTTTATTCCACTCGATGTACAGAATGTACACCTGAGCCCAATAGGCCAGAGGGTCCTGGATTGAATTATTAAGCTGTGCAGAGCAGCCTAGACCCAGTGGTAGGTCCCAGAAGCCTGTATCCCTGCAGTGAGGGAGGGAGGAAACCCCAACCAGAGGATTCAGACAAGGGGCAAGCCTTGAACATATTCCTTTAGTTTGCGGAAAACACATCCTTCCGTATGAAGGCACATTGCTTCCAAGAATGAATAGTGCTAGACCACTGGGAGTAAGGCCATTACAGAACCTCAGGGGCCCAATTGAGCTGCATTATTACCTTGGAGATGAGAAACCTCTCACGAGTGAATAAGTGGCTGAGTGTGTGGAGACCTCAGGTGAGAACAGGACTGGCCCCAACTCTCTGATTTATCTGCCAAAGCTCACTCACCAAACAATAATGACAACTTAACCACAGGCATAGATTATAGGAGCAGGAGTAGGCCATTCATCTCCTGAAGCATGCTTGCTAAAGCATGGCTGATGAGTTTTTTTAATTCATTCACAGGATGGTAGTGTTGCTAGCTAGGCCTTATTTATTGTCCAGGAGGCAGTTAACATTGCTGTTGGTCTGGAATCACATGTCTGCTACCTTCCCTAAAGGATACTAGTGAACCAAATGGGGTTTTCCCCAACAATTGGGCATGGATTCATGGCCACCATTGGACGCTTCATTCAAGATTTTTTTTTTAATTGTAATTGAATCCAAATTCCACCAGCTGCTATAGAGGGATTCAAACCTGAGTCCCCACAGCATTGTCTGAGTCTCTGGATTAACTGTCCAGTGATACCACCACTAGGCCATCACCTACCCTTAAAGCTTGCATTTTCCTGTCTGCCATCTGTACCCTCTGATTCCATTGTCAGTCAAGACTTTATCTACTTCACCCTTGACCATGTTCAGAGCCTCCATAGCTCAGAGGGGAAGAGAATTCCACAGAATGGCGAGTGTCTGAGAGAAGGACGTTTCTCCTCATCTCTGTCTCCATCTGAGAGAGGACTGTCAGTGCTAATGGAACTGAGGCCCACCATAACTAAATGGGTTTTTTTCAAAACAATAATGTATATGGGCATTGCTGGCAAGGCCAAAATTTGTCGCCCATGAATTGATTGGCTCTCTTGGCCAATTTCAAGGGCAGTTAAGAATCAATTACATTGCTGTGGGTCTGGAGTCACATTAGGCCAGATCAGGTAAGTCGGCAGATTTCCTTCCCTAAAGGAACTGGATGGGTTTTTATGATTATCGACAATAGTTCAGCAGTCCACTATCAGTCTTGCTTTTAATTCCAGAGTCAGTAAATTCAAATTACACCAACTTCCACGATGGGATTTGAACCCGTGTTGCAGAATATTAACTGGGGTCTCTGGATTGCAAGGTTACTGACATTGCCTATAGACTCAGACTGTTACATTCCCACAAGAGCCCTTCCGGGTGGCTGAAACATTTTCATCTTGCACTCCTCAGGACACACGCAAGAATGCCAAATTTCTAACAGTCACAGCAATTTATTCTACAGGCGCAAGAGATGCTGGTTGGTCAAAAAGTTGGCTATGATTGGCTGATGTGTTGCCGTGGACAAAGACATAGGGGAAAAAGATGCTATCAACGATCAGATGGTCTGCTTGCTGTCACATTGCTGATAGGAGAGTTGACTGTGTGCAAATTGGCTGTCGCATTTCCTAGATTACAACAATTCAGAGCTACTACATTGGCTGGAAGGGGGACATCCAGAGCTGGTGAAAGGCACTATATCAATGCATGTATTTGTTTTAATTTACTTGGTGGGAAATTGACTTTGAATCAGTTTGTTTGCCCCTTCAGGTGTGGCCTGAGCTTAATTCTCATTGTCTTTGTGTAAATTATCTCCTGAGACATCTCTGCAGCAAAACAGGTCCACTCATCCCAGGCTGTTGGCTCTCCTTGCAATAACATATTTTCATCGGATCCTTGAGATTTGCAATCTGAATTAAACTGAATCCAGAAGGTCTCAGAAGTGAGATGCATTCATGCATGTGGGAAGGGGGTGTTCAGTTGGCTGGATGGCTGGTTTATAATCCCGACTGGCATTAACAGAGAAGGTTCAATTCCCACACTGGCTGAGGTTACCACGAGTGGCCCTCCATCTCAATCTCTCCCCTCGCCTGAGGCATGATGACCCTCAGGTTAAACCCTCACCAGTCAGCTCTCTCTAATGAGGGGGCAACTTTAGGATCTGGTAAGGTTATGGTGCCACAATGGGAGGCAATAGCCTAGCAGTATTATCATTAATGATAATAATCACCTCAGGGGAGGTGTGGCCTAGTGGTATTATCACTGGACTGTTAATCCAGAGACCCAGATAATATTCTGAGGGACCCGGGTTCAAATCCCACAGTGGCGGATGGTGGAATTTGAATTCAATGCATATCTGGAATTAAGAGTCTAATGATGACTGTGAGTCCATTGTTGATTGTCTGGTTCACTAATGTCTTTTAAGGAAGGAAACTGCTGGCCTACATGTGACTCCAGACCCACAGCAATGTGGTTGACTCCGAACTGCAACATGAGCAATAAATGCTGCCTAGCCAGCAATGTCCTCATCCCGTGAATGAATAAAGGAAAAAAAAATTAAACCATTAATCCGGGAAACTCAGCTCGTTCCCTGGGAGGCTGAGTTCAAATCCTCCCACAGCAGATGGAATTTGAATTCAGTCTTAAAAAAAAAGTCTGGAATATAGGAATCTACTGATGACTGTGAATCCATCATCAATTGTCGGAAAAACCCATCTGGTTCACTAATGTCCTTTAGGGAAGGAAACTGCCATCCTTACCTGGTCTGGCCTACAAGTGACTCCAGATCCACAGCAATGTGGTTGACCCTTAACTGCCCTCTGGGCAATTAGGGATAGGCAATAAATGCTGGCCTGGCCAGTACTGCCCTCATCCAGTGAATGGATAAAAATTAAACTTTACCATACACAGGTACATGTTCTGTACAAACAAAAGGAAAAAAAATTCAAGTCTTGCCTCTTCCCTGAATTATCAGGGGGTCTTGGACGGCCTCCAGTTGCCCCACTGTATTCTCCATAGCAAGACATCATTCAGTCAGAGCCAACTTCCTGACCAATCAACATCCTTTCATCCTGTAGTATAAATTGCTGTGATCGTTCGAAATTTGGTATTCTTGCATGTGTCCTGACGAAACCGTCTCAGCGATCTGTCTCCTTTCTCAGGAAGGGCTTTGTGTGAATGTAACGGCCCGTGTCTGCCAGTTAGCCAGCTGGGTTCAGTTCTGAGGTTGGAATCAGTCATCTAGCAGGCCTCCTGTAGACTCCCCTTTGCTGCGTGTGGGCGGTACCTGATAAACCAAGTGTGTCCTGACCTCACCGCCCACCCTTCCACCCCCTCACTGAGCCAGTTTCCTGTAGTGGCTGCTCGGAGCGAACAGGAAGAGCTTGTGGTCTGAGCAATGCAGGCTCAGGTGAGACAGAACTTCCACCCAGACAGCGAGGCTGCCATCAACAAACTTATCAGCATCAAGTACTACACCTCATACGTCTACCTGGCCATGGTAAAACCTACCTTCTTACCGACATCTTGCACTTTAGAATGGGATCTCAAAGAGGCTTAGCTTTTTAAAATGCTACACTTTGCAAAGTTAAAAAGAAAGCTAAAATGATCTCTTTCTAACCTCTGCTGGCGATTATATCATTTAAAATATTGCATGTTGTTTCTCCTCGTGGGAGAGTCCAGGGCCAGAGGGGCATGATTTCAGAGTAAGGAGTTGTTCATTTAAGACAGCGATGAGGAGGAATTTCTTCTCTCAGAAGGGAGTGAATGTGCGAAATTCTTTACCAATGAGGGCTGTCGAGGCTAGGTCATTAACAAGGTTGGGTTAGACAGATGTTTAATCAGTAAGGGGATCGGGGCGAATGGGGAAAAGTCAGGAAAGTGGAGTTGAGGGTTAGCAGATCAGCCCCGATCTCAGTGAATGGTGGAGCAGACTTGACAGGTTTCTGCTCCTATATTTTATGGTCTTTCAGGAGAATATCGATTTCTTTATGCCGTATTCTCAAGACAAGCAGGAATGAAGTCAAGTAAGAAATTGCATTTTCATAGCACCTTTCATCATTTCTAGTCGTTGCAAAGTGTTGGACAGCCACCAGAAGTATTTAAGATGCATAACGCTTCTGGAGTGTAGTCATCATGTTCCAAAGACAAACAAAGTCGGAAATTTGTCTTAAGGCACGGCCTATGTATGTGGGTGTGACCTTAACTCCAGGACTCAGTAAACAGACCAGTGCTGACAATTTAGCAATTCTGACTAACACATCTATATCATACCCATTAGTGCTGCCCTCCATAGAACTGTGCTGCACCTGTCCTGGGAGTGTTTGATGGGGACAGTGTAAAGGGAGATTTACTCTGCATCTAACCCCATGCTGTCCTGGGAGTGTTTAATGGGGATAGTGTAGAGGCAGCTTTACTCTGCATCTAACCCCATGCTGTCCCTGTCCTGGGAGTGTTTGACGGGGGCAGTGTCAAGTGAGGATGTGTATGTTTATTGAGTGTGCAGTGGTGTGTTTACACACATGTGCCTACATGTGAGAGCTTGATCCTGCCCTGTTAGCTTCCAGTCAAACTGCCTGCCACATGATCCCAGCTTTGTCAGAGAGGAACTCTCGAAATCTCACTTCTTCACAGGGATCATGGCATTCCAGAGCCGAGAGAAGAGGACTGCAAATCATACAGTACTGTCAGAATCCAAAGGCATTGTAAAATAGTTTATCCCAGCAGCCAACACCCCTCAAACATTGGAAAAAGAGTGGAGAATTAGCAACAAAAGCATGCAGGAAATAGTTTTAAAAACAGAAATTGCTGGAAAAGCTCAGCAGGCCTGGCAGCATCTGTGGCGAGAAATCAGAGTTGAAGTTTCAGTCTTATGAGCCATCCTCAAAACCGTTTCTGAAAAAGGGTCACTGGGCCCGAAACATTAACTCTGATTTCTCTCCACCAATGCTGCCAGGCCTGCTGAACTTTTCCAGCAATTTCTGCTTTTGTTTCTGATTTGCATCCTCCGCAGATCTTTCAGTTTATATTCAGCAAACAGTTTATGTTGCCTAACCTCTGGCCCAGGGGATTTTTCACTTGACGGATGCAGATACAGTTCAGTAAGGAGTGCACCATGATTAATTTCGATGGCAGTTAAAGTATTTGTTTCATTTTTTTAAACATCTGCTTGTGAGAAAGTGAAATGCAAAGTAGCCATATTCTGCTTCAGAGATATTCAGAACTGCGGATGCTGGAGAATCTGAGATAACAAGGTGTAGAGCTGGATGAACACAGCAGGCCAGGCAGCATCAGAGGAGCAGGAAAGCTGACGTTTTGGGTCTGGACCCTTTTTCAGAAATGGGGGAGGGGAAGGGGATTCTGAAATGAATAGAGAGAGGGGGGAGGCGGATGGAAGATGGATAAAGGAGCAGATAGGTGGAGAGGTACAGGAGCTCTCTTCTTAGAGAGAGACAACTCATCGCAATTTTAACCTGAGGTGGGGGGAGAGTTTGAGAAGGTGAGTCCTTCATGGTAACCTCAGGGTGCGGAAATTGAACCCACGCTGTTGGTTCACTTACCAGCCATTCAGCCAACTGAACTAACCAACCAGCTTTAAGAAAGCACCATTCACTTCAGAGCATTTTAGTAAAAACTTTTAAAAGCCTATGGAAATATTGCCATTATTACCATTCAGCATCACAGCTCTTCAGGTACTTTTGACCAACTTTTCAGAAGTAGCTTTTCGGGTTACTGATCCCCTCCCCACCCCCTCCGTAGATTTGTTGAAGATATTAAATGGTGTCCTTTTCTCTTCCTTTCTTAAAAACAAAAGTCTTTTTATTTCGAACGGGATGATGTTGCACTGGAGAGCTTTGCAAAGTATTTCCATGAACTGTCAGAACTGCTGCGTAAAAATGCTGAGGAGCTGATCAACTACCAGAAGCTCAGAGGAGGTCGAGTCCAGCTGGAAAATATTGAGGTGAGCTGGACATTTCTGTTCCGCCGTCTGTATGTATTCAACTGTAATTTCTTTCCCAAGTGCTTCCTGTAAGCACTTGCTTGGTGTATACTCATGTGAGAAGTACATTTAGGAAGTATTTAGTTGTGCACTTGTGATGCCAACGCATACAAGGCCCAAGTGCTGGAAAATGGGATTGGACCAATTGGGTTGTTGGTTTTGACCAGCGCAGACTCGATGGGCCAAAGGACCTTTATTTCCCTGTGCTGCAGACGCAGGCTCAGTTGCAACGTTTAAAAGACATTTGGATAGGTTCACGAATAGAAAAGATTTGGAGGGAAAGCAAAGTGTGGAGCTGGAGGAACACAGCAGGCCAGGCAGCATCAGAAAAGCAGGAAAGTTGACGTTTTTCGGGTCGCGAACCTTCTTCACAAATGACCCGAAACGTCAGCTTTCCTGCTTTTCTGATGCTGCCTGGCCTGCTGTGTTCCTCCAGCTCCACACTGTGTTATCTCAAACTCCAGCATCTGCAGTTCTTACTATCTCAAGGCTTGGAGGGATATGGGCCAGGAGCAGGCAGGTGGGAGGAGTTTGAAATTGGTACATGGTTAGCATGGACAAGTTGGACTGAAGGGTCTGTTTCCATGCTGTATGACTCTATGACGAGATGATTAGATGCTCCCATCCCACAAATTCTCTCAGGACTCTGATAGGGCTTCTGCGCTATTCCAAAGCTTTCCCAATCAGCATGTGACACTGCTCTGACCATTACAGTGGAGGTGGTGTTGAAAAGGTAGTGTCGATGGAACTCCAGCTTGAGGTGACTGTGGGTGTTGGGTTAGCAGTTGGAGCCACTGAATGGACTCTCGCTGAAAATGAGGGGTGTCTTTGGTGGAGAGAGAGCTGATGGGAAGGGGAGCAGGCAGTCAGAGGAGTTCCACAAACCAATGGAAATCATGAGGGACATAGCTAAGGTGAATAGCAAAAGGTCTTTTCCCGGGGGTAGGGGAGTTCAAAGCTAGATGACATAGATTTAAGGTGAGAGGAGAAAGATTTAAAAGGGACCTGAGGGGCAACTTTTCACACAGATGGTGGTTTGTATGTGGAATGAGCTGCCAGAGGAAGTGGTAGATGCAGGTACAGTTATAATATTTAAAAGATATTTGGATAGGTACGTGGCTAGGAAAGGTTTAGAGGGATATGGACCAAAAGCAGGCAAATAGGGCTAGTTTAGTTTGGGAAACTTGGTCAGCAAGGACAAGTTGGACTGAAGGGCCTGTTTCCATGCTGTATGACTCTATGACTTGCATGGTCCTTCCAGGTACGTTATGTAAATAGTTCCCTGTTTATACTTTATTTGCGGCCAGTTTGTATTGCCTTGGTACCAATGGAATAAGAACTCCCTCCTTCTTGGGCAGTTCATGTGTTCAAACTCTGGTTACACTGGTAACCCAGGAGGCCAGGTTAATGCTCTGGGAACAAGGGGTTCAAATCCACTCTGGTTAAATTTCAATTCTATGAATAACTCCGAAAATGAAAGTTTGTCTTACTAATGGCGAGCATAAAACTATCATTGAAGATAAAGACTCACTTGTTCATGCTGTTCCTTAGGGAAAGAAATCTGCCATCTTTATTTGCTCTGGACTCCATGTAACTCCATACCCACAATGTGATCAGACAGCAACAGGCTCAATGCCTAATCACCCTCTGAAAAGACCCAGTCAGCCCGTCAGTTCAAGGGCAATTAGGGATGGGCAATAAATGTGGGTTTTGCCATTGATGCCCACATCTCAGGAATTTTTTTTAAAAATAATCAGCATCAGGCATTCTGCTGATATCATTCCACAATTTTGACACTGTGTCTGCGTGGGTTTCCTCTTGGTGCTCCGGTTTCCTCCCACAGTCCAAAGATGTGCAGGTTAGGGTGGACTGGCCATGCTAACTTGTCCATAGTGTCCAGGGATGTGCAGGTTAGGTGGGTTAGCCATGGGAAATGCAAGGTTACAGGGATAGGGTGGGGGCTGGGTCTGGGTGGGATGGTCTTCAGAGGGTCGGTGTGGACTCAATGGGCTGAATGGCCTGCTTCCACAATGTAGGGATTCTATGATTCTAAGCCCCTTTTCTCCTTTTTGTCCTCTGCCCTTTCATGCCTAAATGTACTGAGTGTCATTGTGAGGGAGCTGGATTAATGTCAGAGATACCATCAGTAACACAGGGAGCTGTCTGGGAGGGTTTTACAGAGAAACAGCGTGAGGAAGTTAAGTTAATATCACATTACAGTGATTACATTTCAAAGGTACTCAATTGCCTGTGAAGCATTTTGACACTCTCAGCGATTATGAAAAGCAGCTTTTAAATGCAAGCATTTTTAAAACTGCAGATACAGTTGTTAACCAAAAGTTATTTCCTTTCTCCTTTTTTCCCCTTTATTTCTCTTTTTTGAATCTAAGTTCGCTATCTAGCAACTTTGTACCTAACATGGTGCCATTGGGTGACATTGTAAAACTTTTCACTGTACTCCTGTACTTCTGTACTTGAGTACATGTCACAATGAAGGATATTCTGTTCTATTCTATTTCCAAGACCTTCCACTGATACTTCCACTGGCTCTTACACTTATGTTAACAAATACCTATTGTCACATGTGGTTCACTGGGGGCCTAGATTGAGGAATCAACATGTCAGGTGCCAAAACAGAAGCTAAATTGTAGACACTGCAGTTCATCATGCGATCTCATCACTGGCAATCATGTGGAATATGTCCATGAACTTTAATCTTTATCTGCTTCTGTTGCTAAATAAATGGTAGCCATGATGTGGTTGTGCCTGTGTTGGATTGGGGTGGACAAGGTCAGAATTCACACAACACCAGGTTATAGTCCAACAGGTTTATTTGAAATCACAAGCTTTCTGAGCGCTGCTCCTTCGTCAGGCGAAGTAGAGGGATATGCACAGGCACAGAATTCATAGGCGGAGAGATAATAGGCTGTTCACACTCCACTCACACCATTAGTATTATCTTTTGACACTCTTAATTACCTGGAATTATCTTGCAATTATCTCTCCGCCTATGAATTCGGTACCTGTGCGCTTCCCTCCACTTCACCTGATGAAGGAGCACCACTACGAAAGCTTGTGATTTCAAATAAACCTATTAGACTATAACTTGGTGTTGTGTGACTTTCTATCTGAAATAAATGCAGAGTGTGAGAGTACTTGTTGAACGTTATAAGTGCTTTGCATCTTTGATTGTGTAAATCTGCATGAGTAGCACATTTTATCTGTTATGTGAATGAAGGCAGGGTGTTTTCTACCAAAATTAGTGTTTGATGTTTGTCAGCAATTTCTAAGAAGCAACATTGCCCGAGACCTCTGAGCAATGCCCTTTAGGGAAGAATATCTGCCAACCTTACCTGGTTTGGCCTATACATGACTCCAGACCCACAGCAACGTGGTTGACTCTTAACTGCACCCCTGAAATGGCCAAGAGAGCCATGCAGTCCGAGGGCATTTAGGAGTGGGCATCAAATACCAGCCTTGCCAGTGGCACCCACAATACCTATGTGTGAGTTTAAAATTGCCTTGAGTGATGCAGTTCACAGTATCTACCACTAGATAGCAATAGACCATTGATTTTTCAAAGGCTACCCTCGATGTTATCCATCCCAAAATGGCAACGAGGCTCTTGTGATACAATGGTAGTGCCCCTTCCTCTGAGACAGGTGGCCTAGCTTCAAGTCCCTGAGGCGTGTTAAATATTGCTGCTTAGATTAGAAAACTTTCTTTTTTGGAAGTGTGGGTACTGTCGCAGTATAGCTCAGGCAGTGGCACAATTTCTGCACAGCAAGATCCCACCCAGTGCCACGAGCTAACCAGCAGATCATCTGTGTGAGGTGCTGCTAAGCGCCGACAGGAACCCTTTGCATTTACGTCACGCCCTTCACAGCCCAAATGTATAAAGTGGTTTTCCCAAGTGTCGACAGTTGTTGTCACATGGAAAGAAAAGCAGCCGTGAATTTGTACACAGCAAGCTCCCACAACCAGCAATGATCAGGTAAACGTGAGATCTTTCTGAATTATGTATTCCCTAACTCACACCATGTTCCAATTGCCTGTCACCCTGCGCTCGCTGACCTAGTCCACAAACCCCTTTGATTTCAAAATTCTCAAGCTTTGTCCTCAAAGCCCTCCATAGCCTCACCCCTCCCCTATCTCCGCAATCTGATCCAACTTCACAAAGTTTAGGGGAAGGCAATGACCTAATGGTATTATCGCCAGACTGTTAATCCAGAGACGCAGGTAACATTCTGAGGACCTAAGTTCGAATCCCGCCACAGCAGATGGTGAGATTTGAATTCAATAAAAATATCTGGAATTAAGAATCTAATGATGATCACAAATCCATTGTCGGAAAAACCCATCTGGTTCACTAATGTCCTTTAGGGAGGGAAACTGCCATCCTTACCTGGTCTGGCCTACATGTGACTCCAGACCCACAGCAATGTGTTTGACTCTAAACTGCCCTTTGGGCAATTAGAGATGGGCAATAAATGCTGCCTGGTCAGTGATGCCCTCATCCCGTGAATGAATAAAGAAAAAAAAAGAATTCAAACCAGGATCCCTGGAACATTCCTTGGATCTCAGGATTAATAGTCCAATGATAATACTGCTAGACCATTTCCTCCCCAAACCTATAAATGCTAACAGGACTAGACAGGGTAAAAACAGGAACAAAAACAGAAGTTGCTAGAAAAGCTCAGCAGGTCTGGCAACATCTGTGAAGGAAAAAACAGAGTTAACGTTTCAGGTCCGGTGACCCTTCCTCAGAACACAGGAAGGATGCCCCTGATGACTGGAGAGTCCAGAACCAGGAGATCACAGTCTCAGGATACAGAATAGGCCATTTAGGACTGAGATGAGGAGACATGTCTTCACCCAGAGAGTGGGGGACCTGTGGAATTCTCTGCCACAGAAAACGGCTGATGTCAAAATGTTGAATGATTTCCAGAAGAAGTTAGATATAGTTCTTATGTCTAAAGGAATCAAAGAGTATGGGGAGAAAGCAGGAACAGGGTAATGAGTTGGGTGAACAGCATGATCATGTTGAAGGGTGGAGCAGGCTTGATGGGCGGAATGGCCTACTCCTGCTCCTAGTTTCTGTGTTTCTAGCAGATTACAAAGGCAATTTAAACTATACAGCACACTGCTAATGTTACAAAATCTTCCAAGATGCTTCACAGATGCATTATGAAACAATACATGACACTCAGCCTCCTCAGGAGATATTAGCTCAGGTTTTGGTTAAAGAAGTAGGTTTTAAGGACTGGTTTCGAGGTGGAAATTGAGATAAGGAGGTGGAGAGGTTTGGGAAGAGAATTCCAGAGCTTAGCGCTAAAGGCACAGCCACCAGTGTTTGTCAGTGATTCACATCAGGGGTGCTCAAGATGTCAGAATGACAGGAGGCAGACATCTTGAAATTTTGCGGGACTGGGGAGCACAACCACAGAGAGATTTGAAAACAAGAGCAAGAATTTTGAACAGTAAAGGAGTTAAGGGTTATGGTGAGTGGGCGGGGAAGTGGAGCTGAGTCTCAAAAAGATCAGCCATGAAAATATTAAATGGCAGGACAGGCTCGAGGGGCCGGATGGCCTACTCCTGCTCGTAGTTCTTATGTTCTTATGTTCTTATGAATTTTAGAATCGAGGCAGCTTTTATTGGTCAAGCCATTAGAAGCTGTCAGTGTAGCCATCTGAGAAACCTTCCATTTCAATTTTTTAAAAAAATATTTATTCACAAAATGCAGGACAATGAAATGCCCATCCCTGATTGCCCAGAGGTCAGTTAGGAGTAAACCACCATTGCTGTGGGTCTGGAGTCACATGTACGCCAGACCAGGTAAGGATTACAGTTTCCTTCCCTAAAGGACATTGGTGAATCAGATGGGTTTTTCCTGACAATCAATTCATGGTCATCATTAGACTCTTAATAGCAGATCTTTTATTGAATTCAAATTGCACCGTGTGCCATGGCAACAGCACAAGGGTAAACAGCCCCAGAGCATCACTCAGGTAGTCAGCCCGAGCCGCCAGCATGAGCTGTAACAGGCAGGAGCGGGCAGCCTGAGGGGGCAATGGAGGGGCCGAGTGCCCGGAGCGATGGAGGGGCTGTGTCCCAGGGCGATGGAGGGACTGTGTCCCAGAGCAATGGAGGGGCTGTGTCCCAGAGCAATGGAGGGGCTGTGTCCCAGTGCGATGGAGGGGCTGTGTCCCAATGCGATGGAGGGGCTGTGTCCCAGTGCGATGGAGGGGCTGTGTCCCAGAGCTATGGAGGGGCTGTGTCCCAGAACAATGGAGGGTTCTGTGTCCCAGTGCGATGGAGGGGCTGTGTCCCAGAGCAATGGAGGGGCTGTGTCCCAGTGCGATGGAGGGGCTGTGCCCCAGTGCGATGGAGGGGCTGTGTCCCAGAGCGATGGAGGGGCTGTGTCCCAGAGCGATGGAGGGGCTGTGTCCCAGTGCGATGGAGGGGCCGAGTGCCCAGTGCGATGGAGGGGCCGAGTGCCCAGTGCGATGGAGGGGCTGTGTCCCAGAGCTATGGAGGGGCTGTGTCCCAGAACAATGGAGGGTTCTGTGTCCCAGTG